GTATGCTTGCGGATTGGCTTACTAAAGGCTTGCCACCCAATATTTTTCGCAAGCATGTAGCAGGCATGGGTTTAATGGAAGCCTTTTGATCCTAGAATTATGGGACCGCTAATATAAACCACTCCAATTAAGTAAAATGTTTTTCATTTCAAAATAGGATGCGTGTTATGATTATTGAGGTTTAATGGACTTCCACCGGCTATTATAACACCTTACTCTGGTATATCATTCCTATGGAGAATGGGCAAAAGCTATTGGGCCTAACGATCAAGGGGGAGAATGTTGGTATTGATCTAAGGCCCAATGGGCCAAAAGGGATAAGCCAGAAATAAGTTATGTTAGGGGGAGGAGGTCACGAACCAACGTTCGTACCCCCTCGACCCCAATTAACGCACCCTGATCAGGGGCGACCCAAACCAACATGGTTTAGGTCCCCTGATCGCCATCACCACATATAAAGAGGGGGGCAGCTGGCCACGGACGATCCGACCTGTTCACGTGCATCTACTTTGCCCTCCTAAATCCCAACATCCTAATCCGATCTGAGGGAGAGTTGTGCGACGGGAAGGCCTTCTCCTACCTTTGCTTCGGTGCCAGTGTAGTGCCGCTGGCGCCCGGAGGGACACCGCTACCCGTTGCAAGCTCTACACCGAGCCTGCATCAAACAGGCACGCGACTTCACATCGACTACACCAATGGCTGATTCCATTGGTGGTAAGATCCTAATCCATATCTCAGTTCATTAAGGGCGTGTTTGGTTGCCATTTGCTACAGGGCCTGCATCGCATACACTTCCCAAACCAGCCTGCTTGAGCAAAAACAGGCCCTAATACACCATCTACCAGTTGTTTGGTTGCCTGCATCTAGTGTCCCTGCATTACGTAATGCCCAAGTGCACTTTGTTTGGTTGCCTGCATTGACCCGAGCGGCACATGAACACGGCATTTGGTTGCATACAGCGTACATGTTGTGCTTACCTTGTACCCTAGTTGGTGATCTTACCCACACCTAGCACACCAACGCCATAGCACAGCAATGGCGATGAACTGGGCGAAGATGATGAAGTTCTTCAGCTTCAGCCCAAACTGACGATCCACCTTAACACCTTCAACCTTGCGACTGTCAACACTGCTGCCGTGCATTCGCACCCAGTCGGAGTAAGCTTGTTCTGCTGCCTGCCTAGTCTTGAACCCTCTATGGGTGATGTTGTTATAAGATGCCACTTGTGCACTGGCCTCTTCCCATGAACTATAAACCCCTGGGACCTTACCGACGAACACAGCATACCACTTGCCCTAGCAATGCACAAGAGCAAGAGTTGAAGCAGAAAATCAATGGAGCACACAAGTAGCAAGTAAAGTAGCACACAAACAAGAAACAACAATGGAGCAGAAAATAAGTAAAGCATGCATGATCATACGGCATAGCAAGTTTTTCCTAGCACTACCTTGATGTTAACCTACCACCACATCCAAAAGAGGGTGTCGTCCTACCACCGCAAGTTCACCATCAGCGTGAGGGGTTAGTATATACCACCTCACCAAAATATACAGACCATGAAATAGTTTTTGAGCCCTAGCTACACAAAATGTATGTCGTCATCGTCATCGTCGTCGTCGTCGCCACCGCCATCGCCGTCGGGGATCATGCACGCTCACAGGCAGCACTACTCTAGTAGTAGTGCTTGCCCAGCCAGCTCCTGAGCCACAGCACCCTATGAGCATCGGCCATGGCAACGAACCCAACACCCTAGGCCTTGTTGTCAAGAAGGTGGCTGAGAGCTGCCATGAGAGCCTTGTCGCTGAAGCCACCCTAGGTCATGACAGTGCCATACAAGTCAGGGTGGACGTCGAGGGGCTTGCACTCCCTGATGGTTGTTGCCACCTCCTTCACTGCCTCGGTCATGCTGTAGAAGACATTGATCTCCTCCTCCATTAGGCCTCCTCTCTTCCTCTTCCTATCATGGACGGGGTCAAATGGCTTGTTGAAGGGCTTCGCAGCGGGCTTGTCAGGGCCATCGAGGACCTCGACGTCCGGGGTCCCAGGGAAGTCTAGCATGGGAGAACCAAGAGGCTCCCCCGAGCCCATGGCATGCTTCCCAGTTGCCAGCCCGAAGGAGAAGATGTGCTACATCGGGTTGTAGTTCTGTATGGGTGTGTTGAGGAACTCAGTGTCCCTTGGGTGGTCCTAAGAATGAAACACAAGTGTTGTTAGTTGCGATTAGGAGTAGGCAATGGTGGACAGTATGAAAAGGAAGAGGGATGTGAGCTAACCGCGACATGGCCGGCGTAGTGCTCTACCTCCAGAACTATGGAGCAAGTGTTCTCATCCCATGAGGCACCGCTAAGGTCTCTCAGCCTGGACACTTGGATCCATCGACTTCTCCACTTCCTCGGGTGGTTGTACACCTGGGTGGCAGACACCTCTTAACCACGGAACTCGAACACCTGCTTCGCAACGATGTTTAAGTGCACCTCCTTGAAGCCCTTGTCAGTCCTAACTCCACTAGAGATGAGCTCACACATCTTGTTCAGCACGAACGTGGACATGAACGGCTGCCACTTCATGTTGTTCGACCAACCATCCTTCTTTGCCTTTGTTGCTGCTAGCTTGAGTGCAGCGACAGCAGCAGTAGTAGTTGGCTCAACAAGCACTACTGGCACATAGAGGGAATCAGAGGCAAACACCTCTGAATCAGGTGCCATCTGGGACATAGGTTGCGAGTCCTGGACAAACGATGGAGCAAACTGGTTGTCGAACAAGACAAGGGCCTGACTAAGATCTTGCGTCTGCGTGGTCATGTCCTACAATCGTAGCACGCATTGACAGTAAGCATAGCACACAACATACCGGACAATCCATGAAAGCAGAAGCACACATGTACATGGTTCATCACTATCATAGTAAGCACATGCTTCATCGCTACCCTACCAAGCAGACCAGACAATCTATGAGCAGGAACATACAACTACAACAAACAGCATGCTACAAATGGACAACCAATAGCTACAAATCACAGATCTAAGCATGATTCAACACAAGCACAAGGTTTAACTTCAAACTCTACTACTAATCTAGCCTACCACATGCTTGAACATCTAGCCCTACCACAAATTGCAACCGCGGCATAGCAATCAACCATATCAGCTCACAGATCAGACCACTAATCAACCATGCATCTAGATCAAACCCTAGCTGCAGCTCAGATCTAGCTAGAAGGAACAGAGAGAGGGGATTGAACTCACAGAGGCCATGGCTACAACTTGAGGACGAGGGGGCGGTCATGGAAGATCAATGTCGGCCGATGAAGGAGCGCCGACGCCGTGGACCGCCGGCCGATGAAGATGCGCCGCTTACCTGCTCGTCGGTGCCGATGCGCGTCGGCGGGAAAGCTCGAACGGAGGGAGAATGATGGCGGGAGTTGGGGCGGTGATGGAGGGGCTAAATAGGGGTGAACTCGGCGGGAGGTGAGCCGAAATCCTCCGGCCGATTTTTCGGCGACGTGGGCGAGCTCGCGCCATCTCCCCTGCTCGCACGAGGGGAGAAGCGCGTCGCCCTCCCCTGCCTCGCACGAGCCAGGCTCGCGAGCTACTGCCGATTCGGGCGTTTCCCCTGGGCCTGGCCTGGGCGTGCTTTAAGTTCCGTGCGATGTGGGCCGCATAGTGAAAGCAGGCAACCAAACGGGCCACTTTATTCCCGCGCGGGCTAGGCTGGACCTAATGCGGGCAACCAAACACGCCCTAAGAAATTAGGTGATCTAGTGACTAGGCTAACGTTCCTGTTACATAAATTCTACGGGATTATTTCTAACAATAACCCATGATAGTACTTCTGCATGATACTCCCTCTGTAAAGAATAGTGATCCAAACGCTTTTATATTTCTTTACGAGAAAGTATATTCTCAACAGATTTCAGCAATAGAATCCCGTCCTAATGTCCTACACACTGGGCCAACACCACGGATTAACTATATAGATACCGTTTCTTTAGCTTTAGGATTTTATTTTCCTTTTGTGGGAAGTTTGCTGTAACGGGTTGAGTGTAAGCAAACGAGTGCAACACAACATGGATGCAAACGAATGCCACACATTAATAAGCTTAGCTATTCAACTTGTCAAACAAAACAAAACAAAAAGTTGAGCTATTCAAAACTTCACTGCAAGAATCCACCCCGTCAATGGTGATACATACTCCCTCCTTACATCTATATAGGGCTTAATGCGTTTTTCGAGCCTAACTTTGACCAAATGTTAGAGCAATAATATATGACATGCAACTTACACAAAGCATACCATTAAATTCGTATGTAAAAGGAGTTTTCAATGATATAATTTTCACATTATACATCTCATGTAGTATTAATTTTGTGAATAGTCAAAGGCGGTCCTGAAAAACGGATTAGGCCCTATATAGATGGAAGGAGGGAGTAACAACTTTGGAAACAAAGGATAGTAGAACAATGCAACAATGATCATACATACTTTCCCGTATTGGTATCCTTTCATTCATCCATGGAAAACCGACCTGGCATCGTGCTTAATTGATATCGACGCAAAGATGCATATGCAAACTAACTATAGAGACATGTGTGACTTGCACTGAATTTGTAAGGAACGTAGAAACAGAACAACAGGACTAAACAGTTAACAAAGTACAAATAAAGAAATAATACTTTGAATTGAATAAAATCTGCATAAGAACCATCCATCGGTAACATCATTTACCCGTTTTACAGCATCACGTTCTGTACATACACCGACCAGAGCTTGTGTGGTTAACAAAAGCTGATGAAGTGAAGAACTCTTGCTAACATTGTCTTCTTCAATTCTTAGATCGAAAAAAATCATTTTTCCTAGTATATTACCCTTTTTTGTCTAATCTAGAATTCTGTACACATGTGTATGAGAAGAAAAGGCCAAGTGGCCAACTGACTGGTCGCTCAGATCTGCTGATCGCGATCTTCTTTCCTTTTCTTCCGAACAGTTGAGCAATGGACAAGCTATGGTGGGTGACTCATGTTACCTGGAGCAGCAGCTGCTGCAAGATCCTGGAGTAGGGACACAACTTCGCTTGTTCCCTTGAGATTGTACCGTGCTACAGAGTGCTCCCTACCAACAGTGCATGAGAAATAGTTCTTATGGTTGAGGTCAAACTTGATGCTTGAGCAATCCTCTGCTTGACACCCCTTTCCCTTTCTTTTCGCTCCAGGTTGAACATCAAAGCTGGGTAAGGTATAAATATCTTCATCCTGAAAAACGGTGCAATGCCATTCAACTTTGAGTTTGAGCATAGATAATGTTTTTATACTCCAGTAGAAATCCATCAAGGCACTGACTAAATAACATGACAAGCAGTGGAAGAGTGAACTGTAAGTGGGTTCCCACTGAATTCCCAGGATATCATACCATCCAAACTTCATATAATAATGCATAAAAGTTGGTTACATACTACTCCCTCCGTTTCTAAATATAGGAGTATTTGACTTAGGAACATGCTAGACACACATGCAATATATATACATATTACAAAATTACCATATTAAATTATACCATATCGCTGGAAGTTTATATATCTTCTACCAATTACATTTCCTAACTATGATACATGCAAAATACAGTATGTGTATGTGTCTATGAATATGGATTGCATTACTGGATCTTTGGGTATATTGCTACTGTGACACGACAGTTTTTAGTTTCTGCTGTTCTGCAAGGATCTGGACTTTAATGTACAACAGAAATGGGAGAAATGGTTTTCGCATCAAGTTGAACATTTGCCTAATTTTTTTCAAAAATAAAATTTGTTTGCTTTCTGCTGACAGGTTAAATGTTTGTGAGTGGGTACTCTCTTCTTTGATGAATAAACATAACCTGAAGGTGAGTTAAATGTCTCATGCCTTCAATTCTTTTTTAGAACTCCTTTGACTCCAATTGTGAATATTCATATTAACTATTTATATGCTGTCTCTTTTAGTCTTTTTGTTGAACTGAGATAACATAAAAGACAACTCGGTAAAGAAAGTTCATTAATTACCTTTGCAAGGAAATGACCAATGCACAAGACATAGTCGATTGGAGTAGCCATGATATTTCTGAGATCCAACTCGCGAATAATTTCACCAACAGCTTTACCCTGGACAAACGAATGGATCAGTTTATACAACATTGCCAGCGACCAATATGTTCCCTCCTATATACAGAAAATATGGATCAGTTTACAAAACATAGCGAACAAGCATTATGTTCCATTCTTCGGGAAAAATATCTGCTTGTGCGACCAGTAAAACAATTACATTTTGATTAAAAAAGTGAGGGCAGACCTTGGTGACTCCCATAGGACGAATTTCAATTGATCGACTGCCTTGAACAACAACAGCGCTTTGATTTGATAATGAATATGCCCCCAAATGCTGCAGCAGATCTGTCGCTTGATTTCTCCCAAACTGAACATCTGTGGAACATTTGCATAAAAATTAGAAACATGGGCCATTTCGTTTGTGTTCAGAATGTATATTAAACACCTACCTGCATATTTATAGTTCCAAACAAGTGATGATTCACGCTGTTCAAAATTAGACCTCGGGGTTCTTTTGGTGAAGTATTCAAACACTTTCTGGAAAAAATACCAGCATGCGTCAGGAGGGTAAACCAGAAATTGTAATAACAGTACACAATTCACCATGTAGATGCACCTTTACACTGCCAGCCCAGCTGATTTCATCCTGTTCATATCTAGTGGTTATCCATTCTTCACCAGGTCGCCGAAAGAACATCCCATTCTCTGCCACTAACCACAATTTATAGTCTGCAAAATTCTAAACAAAGAAATGGGTGTCATTTTCAAATAGAGGTTTCACTATATAGTATGTATATAACATATATGAATATTAAGAGGTTACTTTATCGAGAATACTCTTGCCGTATCCACTGACAACAACGACAGTCGTATTCTCATTATCACAAAGTGTCTTCAGTGGTTGCTTAAATTCAGGGTTCAACTTGGGTTCAATATCAACCCCTTCCTCAAACAATTCGATCTGACCAGTCAATGTTGCATTGAAACCCTGTATAGCAACAAAGTTGTTAGCGCTATGGAGTAAAATATGTTATACCAGAGTACAAAAGAAGTTATTGGACGATGGAACAAACATGAATCATAATCTGAGGAACTCATCATGAAAATGGCTAGGCATCCAAGATCAATTAATCAGTATCATCTTTCTTTGTTCACAAGTGAGACACCACTAAACAATTTGTGCACTTCTGTTTCCTGAGCGAAACAGTTCTGCATATCTAATTTGACATAGGGGAAGGGGAACTTGTGGCTACACCCAGGCACATATTATAAGCTTTCTTATTGAAAGGAAATAAAATGAGGGTATCCAGCTAAACCTATCTATAAACCTTGTAAAAACTAATTTATAGTGAGTCACCCTCTGTTATTTTGAATAATTTCTAGAAGTGTGGCTTCAGCTTAATTTCGAACAAAAAATGAACAGGTTTGCAAAACCACATGTTCATTTAACCATGAGCGTCTACTGCACGCACCAGGAATTGTGTGTGGGGCCCAAGGCATCATGTAGCATGGGCATACACTTACCCACCCAGACAGACACACATGTGTACTCTAAATAAATAAGGCGCAGTGTAAGCCTTCAATTACAGTTGATAGAAGATGACGGGTGCAACACATATGACAACATTAAACATGTCTATTCAGAGGTTCCTTTGAATTGAAAAGGTTGCCGGTATAAGAAAGTTTTCAAGCAAATAATAGTGCAAGCAAGTTAAAAAAAAATCGAACAGTCACCGGGGGGGGAGGGGTTCCCCGCCTGAACATATTGCTCAAAAGGCTGCCAAAGCCAAGAGTCACCCCTTAAGCTTTGGCTGATCCAGTTTATAAGGGAAACCGGATCAAAAACCTAAACAAATTGACCCCGTTTATGAGGGAAACCGGCCGAAAACCCTAGCAAGTAAATTTATAGTGAGGACATAAAAGAGAAACGGTGCACCATTACCAATATGAGCAAACGATTGTTGGATTGTCCATATTGTGCAGCTGCTTCTCCAATAGGGAGCACAGTAGTGTGTATTGCTCGTAGCGGAGCTTTACTAGTTGCATTATATAGGTCGCTGCAGGAAAATAAATACGATAATTGTTAAAATCACAATAGTAAGAATACTATGTGTATGGCCAAAAAGAAACCCAGTCATCTGATAAATACTAGTCTCCCAAACTCAACACCAGATTGTAAAGCATCAGCTCCTCACCAGACATAGTTTTCTGCCCAGTCTTGTGCGGTGTGTCTTGACACAAGTTCATAATTATGCCTGTGGTGCTTCTCCCTGTCTTCAGTTGGCATATCCAAAGCACGTTTTATTGCGTCTGCTACTTCTGCAATATCCCATGGGTTTACAATAATAGAACCAGCCCCAAGAGATTGCGCTGCCCCTGCAAACTGAAAATAAGAATAACAGCAATTCATGTAACATTGACACCATATTTAAGAAAAAAGGGAAATGTGCAACATCCAAACATATAGTAACCACGTCAGCACCAGGAGATACCTACAAATATCGGCCAGGTCAAAAACAGCTTACCTCACTCAGTATCAGAACACCTTTATTTGATTCTTGACAGGCAACATATTCATAGCTTACAAGATTCATTCCATCTCTCAGTGATGTTATCAGAGCTACATCTGAGCAACACAGAACGGACTCACAATTAAAAAAGTAGACCATAATAGTAGAAGTGATAAACACAGAGGACTTATTCACAGGAAATGGTACCAGTGATTGCATAAAGAGCACACAATGAATCAAAATCGACGGTTTGATCCTGAAAATATAGGCAACATCAGAATTTCTCTCACAAATCATAATACACAACATACCAGAATTAAAACATCTCTATTGTAGTAGTGATGATTAAAATGCATTTCAATACAAACATTTCATTAGTACTAACCAAAATATAAAATTTGTGTGCATAGGGGAAGGGGACAAACCAGGTGTAGAATAGGAGTTGCTTTCAGTGTTCCGAATCGACCATTTACACGTGCAACCAGTTCATGCACTTGACTTGCTAGCTTCCGATCTGCTCAAGTGAACACATAAAACATTAACAAACCAGAAAACATCATTAGCTTAAGCATAGCTAGTCGAAATGGAAGCATTGTTACTATATTATTTTTTTCAAATGTTAACATATGAATTACAGTCAATAAAATATGTAATCCCATTTAGGATTGGATACCATGACTCCATGAGTGTTCTTGACAGAAACGATTTCTTGTAATCGCCTAATGGTACGTGCTAGCAGAAGTTAAATCTTGTTACTAGAAACTACCTATATAGACCATCATATACCTAAATGTTAAATCACATGCTTTTTTTAATACTGAACTGGTAGGATTCTACTAATCAATAGTCAATGAGTGCAAACTCCACTTGCGGATGTAAAATTCAAGAATGGCCGACTGTCGGTGTGTTTTAGACTGTTGGTTTAAAAATAAGAGAACAAAAATATGCATGTAAGCTTCTTATTATCTTGGGACTAGGGACCCTTAAATCTTAATGAGGCATTTTCATTTTGTCAATAAAAAGTAGAGAATTACCTAATTATAGAATAGTAATATGCGTTCAATGATTACTAAGAACAATACTTTGAAATTTTCTAAGGAACCCAATCGTGCAGAAATTTATGTTCTGGACACAACACTTCAAGCATTAGCGCATCTTCTATTTCATTCACAAGTGTCAGCAACAAATTTGGGAGTTTCATTACTTCAGCTAGTAGAAGGTATATTATTTCTGAAGCATGATATCACATTATTGTACTAAATTATAAACCCATTCAAGTAAGTAAATATTCTGCATGTCCACTATATGAGTTATTTGCATAGAAGGAAGCAAAAAATTATAAAACCATAGAAATGAATCTTACATTCGGGTACGTCACTTCTGGTTGGCACTGCAATCTGCAGTAGAACCACTTTGTATCCAGAATCCAGTTCCTCATTTTTCTCAAGAAATTTCTCAAAGGCCAACAACTTTTGCAGGAATCCTTTAATCATGTCTAGCCGGTCCACACCAAGTATTACCTATCACATTAGCAAACCAAAACGAATGAAATAACATAAAATGTTGAGAATCCAGATGTGTATATGATTGACCAAGCAAAATCAAAGAGCTAACTAAGGAGATGATACATAGAAAATATGTTCATACCTTTCGGCCAGCAAAAAGTTTCTTGAATTCGGTAATTTTCTCTTTCACTTTGGGACCCTCCAATGCTTTTGTAAAACGCTGAGCGTCTATCCCGATTGGAAACTAGATATTTTAGCAAAGTGAGTATAAAACAGAACCAATTCTTGCATGCATAAACAAATAATTTCAAATCTTCTAAATGGTGCTAAGATTCAGATATCATGATGAACAAGGAAATGAGTGTATACATAATGTTGTTGTATTAACAAGACTGAATATCATTTTGAAAATTTCAGATAAGATGATAAAAATAGAAATTACAAGTTTCCATACGTACAGCATCCACCTTGACAATCCTTCTGTCAAACTGAATGCCATCAAGGTCACCCTCAAGACCAAGCAGGCTAATGCAAGCACTCACAAAATGCCTTGCATAATCATACGCATGAAACCTGAAAAAGGAAACATCACTGCACATGAAACGACCCATGCTATATAGAGCTGATACTTCCAACAAATTATAATGGGATTAAATCACAAGGTTCAAAAAAGTAATAGGCATAAATTGTGTGTTGTCAGTGCTTAGCATCTAGCTTGCCTAGGAATCAGCAGGTGTCATGTGTGCCCAGGCATTCCGTAGAGACACTGTACAGAAGAGCTGCTGGCAGGGCTGGAAAGGTTGGAGAACAGAGAAGAGAACAATGTTGCTACAGGAAAAGATAACTTAGTGCGGACCAATGCACACCCACTGATTCTAAACAACTGCTACACATGCATTTTGATTGTGTGGAAAACCTGGTTATAAAGAGATGTGCTCTACCTGGTGGAGAGACATGGAAAAAATCCCCAAAGCACTACATTGTATCCTAACTAGGAGCAAACAATAACAAATCATCCTCCGGAGGGTATCTACACCGCCTTGCAGGCAGGAGTGGGGACTGCAGCACCACCCGACTGGACTTATGTGGAAGCTGATCTGCTAGGAAGGAACCGGTGGCTCTCCATAACCCAAACAACACAGGTTGTGTTTCCTTTTCTCCCTTGGGTTGCTGTGTACTTGGGCTGCTCCCTTGATGTTCTGATGGGTGCTAAACTGCTGGCACACTTCCAATACTGTGTGTGAGAACTGTGCTGGTGGAAGGAGTGTTAGATGCTTCCTAAATTTGAGGTGCAGAGAGTTTCCGTAGTTGTAGCAGATACACATGACATTATGATATATAAGCTCAACATTTGCAAGTGCTAACAGCGAACAATTTGAGACCATGTACAACAGCAAAGCCTTTATTCCAAACAAGTTGACGTAGGCTAGCGAGAAACCAAGTAGGAACCGCACACACCCACAAAAACAAGTTGAGGCTTGGTGGTGTGTGTGGCAATCTCTAGTAGAGAAGATGAGCACAAAAGAGAATGAAACAATGAAGAAAACAACAAAAAAGACTGCAGCTAAGGCCTGGATTTGAGTAGCAACAAAATTTAGGAAATAGAGTGAACTCACCCCACTAAGTCAGCTTTAAGCACCGCCTCCAACAACTCCGCACGGTTTGGCAGTGCCCGGTACATCTCGGATGAGGGAAATGGCGTGTGCAGGAACCAGCCTACCTTCATGTTGATATTATACTGCTTCAGCAACTTGGGAAGGCACATCAGATGGTAGTCATGGCACCATATGATATCTCCTTCCTTATAAATTTTGCACACTGTCTCTGCGAACATCTGATTTGCTTGAGTATACGCTTCGAACTGCGACTTGATACCCTTTGCCTTATTGATCTTGTACTCTTGCGGGAGCCCCAAGTAATGGAAGAGTGGCCAGAGAATTTTGTTGCAATACCCGCTGTAGTACTGGTCCATCAACTCCTCATCCAGGAACACAGGTACACACCTCTTAAAAAACAATAACAATGTTGGTTAATAACCCAGCCAAATCACCACTTACCATCAACAACGTCAAAGACTACATGGGTTTGTGAGAATTTAACCAACCCGCTTGAATAGTTCCTCGGTGATTACTGTTTGATCGGTCTCATTGGGGACGCTGACGCCAGGCCAGCCGACCCACATCATTTGCACATCTTTAATACCTGTGTCATCACAGTTCACAACATTGCTTTAAAATTATGACTCGCAGCACATCACATTGCCAAGAAACAAATTCACTTATAATTGAGGGCTCAGATCACATCATATATAATGCCAGAAAAATAACATCATATCATGAGGGGACTCACAGCCTACGAAGCTCAGATACAGCAGAAAAACTAGCGTGCAGGGGTCATATCAATGATGATTTATATATGACAACAGAATATATGAACGTATCACCATATCTGCGTTTTTGAAAAATGACATGTCACGGTATCCGTATGCTGGCAACCTAGCTCAGAGCATATCGCATCGCCAGAAAAAAGAGGTGGGGGTTCTCGATCAGGGGGATTACCTTGCAGGGCGCTGACGAGACCGCCAGAGCTGCTCGGATATTCCCACTTCTTAACCGGGTGGCGCTTGGCCGTGACGGGGAGCCGATTGGCCACGATCAGGACGCGACCATTCGGCCCGAGAAGAGCAGACAGGCGGCTGGCGGGGACTTGCTCCGTTGATTCGAGGGGCTGGTTGAGAGCGGTGGCGGGCGGAGTCCCTGAACTGCTAGCTACGGAGGTAGGGTCGGCGCGACCTGAGACAGGAACGAGGCCAGGGGCGAAATCCGCCGGGTCCTCGGGCTCCTTCGAGTCGGTGTCCACTGCGTCCGTCGACGAGGACCTCGGAGAGGACGAGGAAGTCAGGAGGCGGCGCGCGGTGCCGCTCTCCCGCAGAATCCTCTCGAGGAGGAACCGGGTGGTGGCCGCGTCGGCGTCGTAGAGCGCGGAGGGGTCGGCCGGCACCGCGCCATGGCCGCCGAGGTCGCGGAGGAGGCAGCGGCTGTGCGCGACGGGCGACCCGGCCGCCTCCAGCGGCGGCGGCGCGTGCAGCATTCCGCCGAGCAGTTGGCGGGCGACGGCGTGGGGGTGGGAGAGGGGCGGGGGGCGGAGGGGTTTGGCTTTGCCGCGGCGGTGGTTGTGGGGCCCGTCTCCGCGGCGCAAACGCAACGGTCTCGCCTCGGTATATACCCCCGTGGTTGTTCTGGAAGAAACGGAGACGGGTCGCGGCGCCCGGTTTCACAAATGATTGTTACGCAATTGGTAAAGAGGTATACACTAAACTACCGGTGTGGGACCGATCTGTCAGTGGCTGGGTCTGCCGCTGATCTGGTGTGCTGTTACCTTACGTGTAATTATGAGCCGGGAGGTTGCAGTTTAGTACTACGCGATGGCTAGAGAGGTGTGCTAAACCATCTGCTGTGGAACCGCTATGTCAGTGGCTGGGTCTGCCGCTTGTTTCGGGTGATGTTATCTTACGTGTTATTATGAGCTGGCCACCAAACTTTATCAAAACAACCGGTGCGTTTTTACTTTTCCTTTTGCACAAAAATAGAACAGTACAACAAGTTGTTTCTATCGTGCCTGTATCTATGTTGTGGTTTAGTTTTCTTGAGCAAATCGAGATTGCTTTTGTTGGAAATTGATAATACTCCCTCCGTACCATATTTAGCACTTGAAGTGCTAAAATGACACATATTATGGTACAGAGGAGTAGTAACATGTTTTTTGGGGGATTGTGTACTTTTTCGAAGTCTAGTTAAGGACCTAAATCATTACAACTGGATTCCCATTATAAGTTGTTTACCACACATATCATGTGATAACTAATAATAATGTGTTCAGAAAGATAGAGACCACACATGACATCCAACATTAATGTTGCATTATGTTTCTAAAATGATGTAGTCACCTTGAAAGACCACATGCTTTGGATGGAGATATTACCCTAAACAAAATGCACATGTACTTGAGATTGAACCATGCCCCTCCCCCCTGTCCCTCGCGACTGTTGTTTGCAAACTCCAGCCCTCCAAATGAAGGCGCCATGCATTCATTCGAACAAGGAGCCTAATGGTTCCTTGGTTAAAATGTACACCATAAGGAAAAAGAAGAAGAAAAAACATGCAGATCTTTAACATACACATGTAGAGACATAGTTATGCATCTGGAGCTTCAACTCAAATAACCACGAAGATAAAAAATGTTGACCATGCATCAAGCGAGAGCCCTCTTTGCTTTCGGGCAAAACTTGTGAACATGCGCATTGGAGATGCCTCTAGAGATGGAAGAAACAACCATTAGGGGTTCAGGCAAGCGTTGGAGTCCAGGATTGTACGAGATCACCAGCTGACTCCACCATTGACCAAATTTCGGCATGACGGTAATACGATCCGGTTGGCGCTAGTAGGATGGCGAAGCCATCAAATCCTCAGTGCACTATGGTATAGCCACAAGAATGCTACTGGAGGCCGTTAGGGCATCTACAATGGGGACGCTAATGTCGGGCGCCAGGATCAAAATCATGTCCAGACTTTTTCCTTGTCGTTCTGTTATATTTTGAATTGTTGGAGCGCATGTTCTTTGTGGCTTTGCGTTGGAGGGGAAGACTCTAAGACAAGTGCTTAGCCAAAAATTTCTTCACTAAGACTTCCCATTGTAGATGCCCTTAGACCACCCAATATACCCAAAAGAGCTCGTGGATCGTTGGTGAGGCAAGTTCGTGGGCAAGATCTGTGTCGCCTTGAGATAGGGACGAGAGAGGGATAAAGGAGAAACCTCTACATTTACGAAGAACCCATACCAAATTCACTCCGCGCTGGGCCGGACCATCTACCATTTTCTCTATTTTCAAACTACAAAAAAGCATGCATGTGTGTGGTTCATATCGAAGATGTTCTGGTTCAATGCACGCCTCAGTAACCACCCAATCACCACACGTTGATGTGATTACATACACTTTTCCGTGTTTTCTTCTTTCTTTTTTCTTCTTCATTTTCCTTTTATCCTTCCCTTTTTCCCTTTTTTCTTTTTTTTTCTTCTTCCTAGTTCGATGAACCTTTTTAAATTCATGAACTTTTTTCTTCAAAATCAATGATTGTTTTCTAAAATCCAGGAACTCTTTTTCAAGTCTTTTTCAAAATCGATGAGTTTTTCAAATTCATGAACTTTTCTCAAAATTGATGAGTTTATTTTAAATTTTTCGAAATTGATGAACTTTTTTCAAATCAATAATGTTTTTTTTAAATCGATGAACTTTTTTCCATATTTGTGAACTTTTCTTCAAAATTGGTGTACTTCTTTCAAATTTATGATTTTATTTTTCAAATTTGATAAAAAGGAAAGTTGAGGGAGTGCGATCGAGAAAGGATGAGCGGTGTGCTTTTAAGGAGCCGGCCCAGTTGACCGCATGTGTGGGCGCCAAGAAGGTGAACTAGTGCTTAACACGTTGTATAGGAGCTCCCTTGTGAGATATAGCTACTCACGAGGATAACAACCAAACGCGCACCCTCGTCCGTGGTAATGGGCTGGTTCGTAGTATTTGAGTTTCCTCTGTTTGTTTGTTTCTCCTTTTGATTTTGCTTTCTTCAAATCAGTAATACTCGAATCAGTAACCTTAAAAAAACACATGCATTTTTTACGAAGGTTGGCCACGCGTATTCTTTTGTTTTTGTTTGTGAACTTTCTTTTATGTCTCTTTAAATCAGCGAGTTTTTTAAAAACTCGTGTTTTTTTAAGAATTGTGAACAATTTTTAAATTCATGGACATTTTGAAATTTAAATACTATATTCAAATTCAAAAACAAATTTCAAATTCTTAAGTTTTTATATCAAGAATAATTTTCAAATTATAGATTATTTCTTCAAATTCGAGAACATCTATCAAACTCGTGATTTTGTTTTGAAACCCGTGAATGATTTTTGAGCTCATGAACATCATTTTGGAATTTATGAACAAGTTTTCAAATTCACGATAATTTTTGAAATCGATGAACATTTTTTGAATTTGCAATATTTTTTTATTTCTTGGGATATTTTTAATTAGCAAATAATTTTTGAAATTCGTGAATACTTTTTGAATTTCGTGATATTTATCATAATAGTATAGAATTCATGAAATGTTTTGGAGTTCGTAAACTTTTTGCGAATTCATGACTTTTTTGAATTCATGAACAATTTTTAATTTCGTTGACATTTTTTGAAATTCATGATTCTTAAAATTCCTGAATATTTTTGAATTCATGAACATTTTCTAAAATTTGCAACTCATGAATATTTTTCTGAAAATTGTTCACGAATATTTATATGATCATGAAGTTTTTTGGAATTCTTGGAATTGTTTTATTTTTCTTGCAAATTCTTCGAATTTCAAGTTTTCGCTAAAGAAGAAAGGCAAAAGCTGAAAAAGGAAAGAAAGAAACAAGAACCCCGCACCGGCAGTAGGCCAACCCAAAGCCGTGCGGGTGGGCAGCCGCATCGAGCATCCCTTGCGCATTTGCTCGGCCTCGATCGTTGTATGCAGGAATTAGGAGGTCCCACAATGAAAGAATATGATATGAAAAATGATACGGGCGATCGCACAAAGGCCGCTAACACACGAGGCAGAGAAGCACGCTCAAACTCTCACGTGCGCCTGCACGAATCGGAAAGCAACTTGATCTAACGGTTTAACATGTGACAGAGACAATGGTTTAGCATGTGATAGAGACTTTGACATAGTTGTTTCTTTTATCCACTACCTATGATGAATCTACTGGGTAAAATGAGAATATGCAATTGCTCCACAAAAGAAACAACAGGGGATAACAACAAACTCAACATGCACATTTGTTTTCCAAGCTTTACCATGAGGCACAAGTAAAGTAGTATAAAAATACTTATATGTACATCTTCAAAGTGTTGTAGCATGCCAATACTGTCACTAAACTATGATAAGGACACCTTTGGTTGACATCTTCTACCGTAAATTTCTTTTTAAAAATAGACCACGCGAAAACAAAAAGGCCATCAACTTTGACAATTGACACTGCGTACATTTTCTCCTTGAAAAAATGCACACACTAGTTGTTGTGGAAGTACACTAACCAAAGTTGGTGTTGTTACAATATATTACAACTAGGCAAGTGAACCCTAAAACCACGCCAGAGGCTCTTACATTTCAAGATGACTCATTGGGTCTGCATGTTTGTCTGGTGCAGGTGCCGTCTCCGGTTCTAGTTTGACGAAGCGCTTCCCGTACCAATGGTGTGCCCAGACGGTGCCCATGGCCTCTATGTGCACACCCTTGGTCTCCGGAAGGAAGGCGATGAAGAAGGCGGTCATGATGACGACCCAGGTGGTGTTGTAGGCGAAGGAGCCATACTTGAAGCTGCAGAGCATAGCGAAGAAGGACTGCATCTGCACAAAGGTTACGTGAACGAGATGGACTCGCTCATGCTCTGTCTCCCGCCGACCTCACCTCCAACGGGAAGATCTCGCTAGGGATGATCCACTTGAGCGTACCCCAGGAGATGCCGAACCCGGCCACGAAGAGGCACACCAGCGCCACCACAGCCACCGCGTATGGGCCTCGGTATCGCCTTCCCGCCGTTGGTCCCCAGCTCGGCACCGAAGATCCACGTCATCCCCACCACGCGCATGAGCAGGACACCGACACCGAGCTTGAAGAGGAAGCAGCGGCCGGAACGGTCGACGGAGAGCGTGGCCACGAAGATGGACGCGTGGCTGGACGTTGACATGAGGATTGCTAGCCACTCCCGGGGCCCCTCCTGGTATTTCTTCTTCCAATATTTTTTTATTAATTTTAAAATAAATCTCCATAAATTTTTAGGTCATTTGGAGCTTTTCGGAGAATAGCTATCTCAAGTGTAGCTCTTTTCAGGTCCAGAATTCCAGCTGCCGGCAATTTTCCTCTCCATATAAATCTTGCATAATAAGAGAGAAAAGACATTAAAATTGCATCATAAAGTGAAATATTGACCCAAAATATTATAAATATCAGTAGGAAAACATGATGCAATATGGCCGTATCACCGTTGGTGTACCGGAGCATAAGGCTTTCGCCTGAATCCATTCACGCACCACACTGAGGAACCTCGACCACTTGCCTACCCAAGGGAAGACAATGCGGCCACCAAACAAGACCTCTAGGGCAAGATCATTGACACCATTGCCGAGGCACCGCCAACACTATGATACCCACGCGCTACATCCTCTGTTGCCCACACAACCAAAGGATGCCACCATCACCGCCACCAAGACGCCTACTGAAAAGCTGACCCCAATGGACCGCCACCATAGACCATCACCATAACGAAAACAAAAAATACAAAGAAAAACGAAATACCAGTGACAATAGAAAAAGGAAAAAAACTAAAACCCCCCGAAGAAACATGTGCAGAAAGAATGAAAAACAGTGAAAACTAGTAAAGAAACGAAGAGGAAATGAGATTTTTTTTAATGAAAACCATGAAACAAAAGAAACCAAAGAAAAGTAAAATAAAAAACAAAGTATAAGGACAAAAAGAAACCCAGAAATCGAGGAAGAAATAAGAAATTCAAAGAAAAATCCAAGGAAAAAAAAGACAAATATAAAGTATAATGAAGAAAAAAGAAAAACCAAGGAAGAAACAAAAGACAACCGAAGAAAAAATAGAAAGGAGAAAAAAACCAGTGCAAAAAAGAAAAAGAAAAAGGAGAAAGAAAAAGAAAAAATAAAACGAATCCAAAGAAATACTAAAAGGAGAAAGAAAAAGAAAAAAAATGAAAAGCGGGTGAAAACCGATATAAGAAACAAAAAAAATTAAAAGAAAAGAAAAATGAAGAAAGAAACGAAGAAAATAGTCTGAAAAAACCGTTAGAGAAAACCAGAGTTAACACAAAAAAGAAAAAAAAATCGAAGAAACCAGAGCGAAGGGTAGCATATATTGATTCGAATAAACCAGAGTTAACACAAAAAAGAAAAGAAAAACAGATAAAACTGGACTGGCCCAGTGGCAACGCGTGGGGAAAACTTATAGGCGAGTGTAGCATATATCTCGCTTAACGCGAGATATACCTCTCGCGTGGGATAGCGAGCAAATACGGTAATTGGCTGGCCCGTTAATATGTTATTGCGTTTCTTCCATCTGCTTTCTGTATTTTTTTTGTTTTACGTTTTATGATTTTTCTTGTTTCTTCAAATAACTGACTTTTTAAAAAAATCGTGTACTTTTAAAAAATGTGAACAATTTTCCAATTCATGGGCATGTTTTAAAATATCAAACTATTTTACAATTCTTGAACAATTTTCAAATTTGTATGTTTTCTTAAAATCAAGAATAATTTTCGAATTTGTATTTGTTTTCAGTTATTCAAACATTTTTTAATTTCGTGAAAAAATCAAACTCAGGATTCTTATAAGTTCATAAACATTGTTCTGAATTTGGATTTAGTTTCTGAACTTCCTGAAATTTATCAAACTTGCGGACATTTTTTGAAAGTGATGAATGATTTTTGAACTAGTCAAGATTTACGTGCACATTTTTGGAATTTTCAACAAGTCTTCAAATTTGCTGTCATTTTAAAATCCTACAATGTTTTTGAATTCGCAAACCTTTTTTGATTTCATGAAGATTTTTTATTAGCAGATACTTTTTGAAATTCGTGTCTATTTTTTGAAATTCGTGATTTTGATTGAAATTCACAATATTTTTGGAATTCACGAACATGTTTTGGACTTCGTGAACTTTTTGTGAATTCACGAATATTTTCCTGAATTTCTGAACATATTTTTATTTCACTGACTTTTTTGTATTCTCGATAATTTTTTAAATTCCTGAATATTTTTTAATCCATGAACATTTTCTAAAATTTTCAAACAGTTTTTGAACTCACAAACATTTTTCAAAGCAGTAAACAATTTTGAGATTTCATGAATATTTATATAATTGTGAAGTTTTTTGGAATTATTAGAATTGTTTCAACTTTTCTTACAAATTCTTGAAATTTTTAAGTTTTCGCAAAAAAAGGAAAGCAAAAACTGAAAGAAAAAGAACGGAAAGGAAAAAAAGAAAAAAAAAACGCACCCACAGTAGGCCGGCCCAAATCCGCGCGGGTGGGTGCGCATAAACCATGCGGGTTCGCAGCCGCAGCGAGCATCCCCTCTGCATTTGCTCGACCTCCATCGTTCTATGCGGGAATTGGGAGTTCCCAGAACAACAAGAAAAGTGAGGTGAAAAATGATACAGGCTATTATACATAGGCTTCTAATACACGAGATAGAGAAGCACGCTCAAACCCTCACGTGCGCCTGCACGAATCATAAATGTGACAGAGACTTTGACAAAGCAAACACATTTCTTTTATCCACTACCTATGATGAGTCTATGGGTAGGATGAGAATGCGCAATTGGTCCACAAAAGAAAGAAAGAAAAAACAGCAGGGGATAAAACAAACTCAGCATGCACATTTGTTTTTCAAACTTGACCATGAGGCACAAGCGAAAACAGTAATAAAAACACTTATATATAACATGTTCAAATGTTGTAGCACACCAACACTGCGAATATTGCTTGGCGCGGACGAGCGCGCACGCTCCTGGTATCACGAATCGTTCAATATTTACCGGGATGTGGGCCGTATGTGGTAGAGTAGATGTATGCAGTAGTACAACCTCTCAATATACCGAGGTCGTCACTGGACGGCCGTTTGGGTTGTGATGGCGCAGTTAAGTTGACGTTCGTCTCGCCGTTTATGAGCCGCAGCCCCGTTTGATGGTAGGAAACGGCGTATGTGGGGTCCACCAAGGACAGTTATTATTTAGCTATCCCACACAGGCATGTCTACTCGACTCCCCCCACATCGAGCGAGGAACCCTAGTTGCAGTTCATGGCGAACACCAACCAAGATGCAGATCCGGTGGCTCTGCCTTTAGTCCACTGCCCGGACTTCGCGGCCAGTTCGCCGGCGACCGCTTCTACAAGTGTCGCAATCATACATGTAGTTTGGGAAGTCGGCATTGTTGCCTTTCATCCTGACAATTTCGTACGCCATCTGCATCCTTACGTATGAAATCAAACCCTGCAGGGAACATGTCTGTTAGTAACTGCATGTTTGTGATCTCAATAGTACTGAAGAGGTTTGCCAACTTACTAGGTTGGCAGTGTTATCAGCTTCAGACCATCGAACTCTCTGACTCTGATGTAGTGTAGTACGTAGAAACCGCTCTCGGAACTGATTTTTTTAGTAGGTACAAATCATCAGTTTTTTGCACACAGATGAATGTATCAAAATTTTGAGTTTCATAAGTTCTGTTTTGGACAAACTTACATGGTGCAGTTCCGCTGCCAGGCTTTGTTATACTTGTAAGTCCATGGGGAAGTAGCAAAATGCCAATCTGGATAACACTCATGAAGGCACTGAAAGAGGGCACGTAGAATGCGCAGACTTGTGTCTATGTGTTTCTTCTCTATTGTACTCCTTGGTGAGTTTGCCAGCATGGGGTCCATTACCTATAGAGTTTTTGCAGTGATATAACCTTCAGAAGTCATGACAGGGACAACAAAGTGTTGCTGCAGGCGTGGTTGATTTGTGGACAGTCGTTTTTGACTGCTCTTGCTCTGCAGCTAGGAGCATGCCCATGAATTCAGAGTACAGAGAGGTGGAGCCATTGTCAAGTTTGTTGAAAATCTGGAGCACAAGATGGGAGCATCTCTGAAGGTGTTCATGTGACAGAGTCTCTCCAGGTGGCTTGTGGTTGATGGCAAAATGCTGCACTGCATCACGAATCCTTGAGCACACTGCAGTGCTGATAAATTCTTTGGTAGCAATCCTGACGGCAGCAACTGAATGTGTACTGTCCTGACGCGCTGGATGTAGTTCCCACTGAATCGCCATATAAGAGGCAATGGATTTTGTCTGTACATGTTGCCAGAGAAAAGCAGTTAATCTAATCAGGAGTGGTAATTATGCACATGCTTCCTTGTACTAACAAAACTGCATCCAAATTTTGAATTGAGAACATAATTGAAAATTCTTCTTGCCTTGAAATGGAACGTGCCGCTTCTTGCCAACTTAAAAAATTCTTTCATCTTATCTGTTGTGTACTCTGACAACCGTGGCCAGTCCTTGACGTTGGCTTCTCCGAAATCCATCCACCCCAAAAAGAACACCTGGTCATGCCGTGAAGAAAACAAAGTATCAGGTCACATGTACAATGAGCAGGAACAGCCAAAAGTACACAAGCACCATGCATGCACGTAGATCAATCACAAGCCTGGGCGAAAAGCTGATATATGCTAGCTATTACATGAATGAGTTCTTTTATCTGTATCGAGCCGGTGGAACACTAATCAGATCTTGCACTCTACAAAGTAGCTCTAGTCAGTCGGATTTATCCACTGTTGGGATCGGCTTAATTAGGACCAGATTTTATCCCTGTAATTAACTCTACGTCGGCTGCCATCATAGATCTAACTTGTTTACCAGCGAATATCATTGTTCTCTTAGCCGGATCTATACATCTAAGCAAGCTCCAATACATCTTGTCACCACCACCAGAGGCTCGTGTTGTCAGGAGTGTGGCTAAGCCGCTCGGCTTGAGCAGAGGATAGGAGAAGGCGGAGATGTTGGTCACCTGGCCGGTGTTCGAAGGCGCACCTGATGGATGGAATTACAGCGGCGTCACCTCCTTATAAGGTAGTTGGTTTTTCGGTCCCCGGTTGGTTTTCTTGGCTGCTTCTTCAAGCTTTCGGAGCGGTGCTGTGGTTCTCCTGGGGTTGCAGATATCTTTTCCGTCATATTGCGCGTCGTTATGTCGACGGAAAACGTTGCCCTGTACAAAACATGTACCATATGCATCTATCTGTACCAATTGAACATGTTATAGGACGCCCGTTATCAGCCGACGGATGCCGTGGGCCATGTTATGCATTCATCACCGTACGCCGCTTATTTACGTCCGCGTACGAACCATGCTACAGTCTGTCCCCACCACGAACGACTTGTTCCATTGGTCCACGTACCGGGATCAAACGCGCTCGTCCACGCTATCGCCCCTCTCACCAACACTGTCACTAAACTACAAACTATGATAAGTACACCTTTTTTAGGGAGATAAGTACACCTTTGCTTGACAGCTCCTACCATAAATTTCTTTTTGAAAATAGACCACGCGAAAATGAAGGGTCATCAACCTTTGACAACTGACACTACATTTTTTCTGAAAAAATATAGGCACTACTTGTAGTGGAAGTACAGTAACCAGAGCTGGTGTTGTTGCGGTATATTACAACAGGACAAGTCAAACCTCCTACAATCACGTCAGAGCCTCTTACATTTCAAGCGACCCGTCAGCCAGTTTGTCTGGTGCGGGCGTGGGCTCCGGTGCCGGTTTGACGAAGCGTTTCCAGTACCAATGGCGTGACCAGACCGCACCCATGGCCTCTATGGGCACGCCCTTGGTCTCTGGAAGGAAGGCGATGATGAATGCCGTCATGACGACGACCCAAGCGGCATTGTAGGCGAAGGAGCCATACTTGAAGCTGCATAGCATGGCGAGGAAGGACTGCGTCTGCACGAAGGTGAGCGTGAGCGAGATGGACTCACTCATGCTCTGCCCCGCGGACCTCACCTCGAGCGGGAAGATCTCACTGGGGATGATCCACTTGAGCGGCCCCCAGGAGATGCCGAACCCGGCCACGAAGAGGCACACCAGCGCCACCACGGCCACCGCGTAGGGCCTCGGCATCGCCTTCCCGCCGTTGCTGCCCAGCTCTGCGCCGAAGATCCACGTCATCCCCACTAGGCACACGAGCAGGATGCCACCGCCCAGCTTGAAGAGGAAGCGGCGTCCGAAGCGGTCGACGGAGAGCGCGGCCACGGAGATGGACGCCAGGCTGACGACGTCGGTGATGATGGAGCCGAGAATGGCCTTCTGGCTCGTGAACCCGATGGTGAAGAAGAGGAGCGGCGCGAAGAGCGTGACCACGATCATACCCGTCAGCTCGAAGAAGAGCGGGATGAAGATCGCCATGACCAGGTGGGGCCGGTACTCGCGCATCAGGATCCGTCGGAATGCGCCGGACTTGTGTCGGCCGCCCTCCTCCGCGGCACGCATGATGTCCTTGAGCTCGACGTCGACGTCAGCGGCCGGCCCGCGGATCCGACGCAGTGAGTGGCGGGCCTCGTCGACTTTCCCGCGCAACACGAGGCTGTTGGGCGAGTCCGGGATGAAGACGGCGCCGACGAGGATGACGACGGCCGGGATGATGCCAACGCCGAGGGAGAGGCGCCAACCCCACCCTGGGATTGTGTTGGCGCGGTAGTTGACCAGGTCGGCCACGAACATACCCACGTTGAGGAAGAAGTGGAAGATGCTCGTGAACGCCCCGCGCCACCGCGCCGGCGCGATCTCCGCCAAGTACACAGGTGCGGACTGCAAGAATCTCACAATCATTATTTTACGATTGATGGACTGGATGGAGCAAGCACACGAGGTGGTACTCCCTCCCTTCCATAATGTAGTTTTACAGATATTTTTTTTTAAATCTAACCTAGCAAATGTTGACCAAGTTTATATATCTACGATGCAAGATATGTAAAATATGTAAATAAGTACATCTTATGATTAAATTACTATGTTTGGATTCTAGATAAATGTTTTTCTCCAAAAACTTAGTCAAAAGTTTGTGAGGTTGGACTTTGAAAAATTATATGCACGGTGTTAATATGTTATGAAGGCGAAGGCAATATCAATTTGCTGACGGACGGCCTCACCTGGTTGGTGAAGCCAACAGCAAAACCGAGGAAGATCCGGCCGATGACGAGCATGTAGATGTTGACAGCGGCGCAGTTGAGGATGGCGCCGACCAAGAAGAACGAGGCGCCGATGAGCATGGAGTTCCTCCGGCCCACCTTCCTCGTGACGTGGCCGGCGACCAGGCAGGCGAAGACGCCGGCGAGGTAGAGCGAGGAGACGAAGGTGGTGAGCACCTGGCTGTCGAAGATGCAGTAGGCGTCCTGCTGCGCGCTATCCACCTTCTTGATGATCTCCGGGAAGAAGGCCTCCAGGAACGACCGCATCTGCGTCAACCCGCCTGAAATTAAATTTTTACCGCATGAGTAACTTGTTAGCCAGCCACTTGACCATCAAACTACGCAATAGCCCCAGCTCCATCAATCAATGTCCACACATTAATTTATAATACATCACCAATAGTTCAGCTTGTAACTTATAACTGGACAACGTCATATATATAACTCGTCGTCTCTCTCTGCTACAAATAAATAAAGATGAAAAACCTTCTGCCACGCCTCCATCAACTCGAAAGGTCCAAAGACAATCAAGACAGATATCCCATACCCATTCAACACGATGTATGACTCACAATCAAGTACAGTACTAGAAGAAGAACCTCGACTTTCGACTAGATGGCTCACAATCAACACGATGTACAGTATGACTCTCTCTCTCTCTCTCTCTCTCTCTCTCTCTCTCTTTTTTGCGGGTGGATGTATGACTCACAATCAAGTAGTAGTACTAAAAGTCAGCTGGACTGGATCTCAGTGAAAACAACTAGAAGAAGATCTTCCATGATTCGTTTTTGGCCGGATTCAAAGGAGTTAGCTCTCACAAAGCATATTACTTACTACAGTACTTGTCAGATACTCCGTCCGTAAAGAAATATAAGAGCGCTCTTATACTTCTTTACGGAGGGAGTAACATACTACGTAGCTGTTTCTAAACATGATCATATTCATTTCCTTGCTAAGCGTCTCGGCGAGAAGAGGAAGAACTAACCAACGGAGAAGAAGAAGTTCATCGCAGCGCTGGCTGACCTGTAATACTGATGTCGTAGCCGAAAATGAGCCCGCCGGAGGCCGCCATGAGGCAGCTCATCACCACCGTGAACGTGATCTCGCTGCTGTAGCCGGAGGCCACGCCGGCGCTGACGCCGGCGCCCACCGCCAGAGCTCCTCCCCCTCCTGGCATATTCAACGGCGTGCAGAGCTCGAGTTTGACCAAGAGGCGATTCTACCAGGCCGGGGCGGGAGACAGCTCAACGCAGCGCTAGTGTCAGTTGGATGAGTACTTGTAGATGTACTAGTAGCCACTGGCCACGGAGTCAACCATCCGTGCTTCGACTGACGGAAGAAGCACAGCAATCCATTTCCATTTTCTAATTCTCTGGGTTTTCATTGATCCAGCTAGCAGCCGACGTCGCCCATATTCATTTTCCTTCAACCAGACTGCATGTGATCAGTATAGAGTACATAGTCTGAAAATGATGCAATGACAGCACCCTAGCGCCAGTAATACTGCGTTGTCAATGTACCATTTTTATTTTATTCCTAAAATGTTAGCATAAGAAAACACTTTCAGCAACATGTACTTGCACATTCATTTTCAGTTGTTATTATTTATTCCTAAAATACAACAAATATTACCTTCCACATTATCATTTAAAAACTTGTACAACCAGTAAGGGTGAACTGAGCATAGCTCAAATGGTTAGCGTCCTTGTGGTGGAGCCAGCACACAAGGGTTGAAGTCCTAGACTTGACACTGGCTCTCGCATTATCCTGGATTTATTTTAGCCTTTCTGACGGTGCTCGTTCAATGCAAGGAGACACTTCCGCCCACTGTGAGACGCTTGTAGTGACTTCATCAATCTCAAGAGCAATGTATGTGCCGGCTCAACATCTCGAAGGTGCTCACAGATGTTGTGTCGAGTTTCCTACGACTGGAGAATTTGTTATAACTTATATTTTATTGATTAAATCGGTAACTTATGTTAAGCTGAAAAATACTAGGGGAACTCTCGGTCCTAAGAGAGTAATATATTGTAGATGGTGTTAATTATTATTTGTCCAGATAAGTTCATGTTTCATATCCTGCAAAGTCAAATCTTGCAATTCAACTTGCATGACCATATCAAACTTGCATGGTCAAATATATGGCCGGATAAGTTCATGTGCGAGTCGGGTTTGTTAGGAGATTGGGTGAAGATATTGTCTTGGCCTTGGATCTGTGACCGGCGATGGCGGCGGCTACAGGTGTCGTAAACCTTCTTGGAGGCTCGTTGTGTTGCCGCCGCACCCCTCCCACATAGATCCTGCTCCGGGGGAAACCCCAGATCATGTGTTATTGAAAGATTGCGACGCATTGATGTCGTTTCCCCATTCGAGGGCTTCGTCTTTGGAGGTGGGCATCGGCAAGTGACCAGGGGAAGGCGTTGGTATTGGTGTCGAGGCTTTTGTGATAACGATGGCAGAGGCGAGCGAAGTCGAAGGTGTGGCAATGGTTGCAGTAGTCGGCTCTTCTTCGGCGTGTCCATGGGATTACCTCGGGTTGTTTTGTTGCGGTCAAGTTGAAGCTGCGGCAGCGGGGCCCTATGGTAACAGGTCGTCTGTTCAGTAATCTTTTGCGGCGCCAACCGTGCATAGTCTCCTTTCAGAGCCAGAGCTACACTGCCCTCCGTGCGGGTGGCTTGGTCTGGCACGGGTCTTCTTGTGCTTCCACACGGCCTCTACAGTGAGGGTTGGGTCGAAGTTCATCTTCGACAAAGTCGGAGTCGCTTGCTCGGTGATTAGGAGAGCAATGACTTGTTGGGGAGAACTGATGACGATGACACCGGAGTGTATCTTGATGAGGCCATCTTTTTTTAGGTGTGTGATGACGATGACGCCAGAGTGTATTTTGATGAGGCCCTTTTTTGTTTAGGCGTGTGTGGCATATCATGTATGTGCCTCTCGGCGGTTTATGACAGTTTTTGTCCTGTTTTCCATTAATTAACTAAGCAACTCTCTTTTGCTTAACTAATAGATGAGGGAAATCTTTTGCCTTCATTTCAAGGGGAAAATTGTGTCCTCCGCTATCTTCACAAATCAACACAATTTGCACACTAAATAATCATAGATGAGCTGTACTGATGTCAGTTACGTTGACATTGTCACAAAGATTATGACGAGTAATACAGTATTTGATAGATAAGTTGATGTAGACACATCCCACATGTGATACATTATTTCCTCTACTTGTAAGCTCTACCGTATTTCTGGTACACCACATGCATCTTCTCTTTGAAAAGGGGGACTTGGTACACCAGCACATGACTAGCTACTGATTTGGTCTAGATAATGACAAGAAGACACATCTTGATGCCGTCATTGATTGCAGAGCACATAGAAATTTGAGATTCCACATTTCTGCATACTTTAAACTTCAGACTACCGCAGTGTTCTGTGGATGATTACTCTTGTACCGTGTGTTTGGGTATATTATACAGTAAGTACTCCCTTTGTCCCATAATATAAGAGCATTTTTTACACTAGTATAGAGTATATTACAAGGATAGTCAACTTAGAGTTTTGAAAGTGGGATAATCTCGAACAAGAGCCATCCACATCAACAGAGCGGCTATCTCGATCTTCAGTTGATGAGCACACATAATTTTGCCACATTTCTGGATAGTTTGAACTTCGGATAATCAGTGTCTTGTAGGTGATTACTCCGTATGTGTTTGGATATAGTATAATAGTAGAAGCATTGGCACGCTTTGTTGTGCCGTTGGGCTGCTACGGTGGTCTGTTGAAGTTAAGCTTTTGCTTCGCTTGCAAAATTACAACTATCTGAGCTGCTACCATTTATTTATTTTGGCAGCAGTTCCAGTAAAGAGAGAGGAACAGTTTTGAGAATAGAGTTCTTTTTGAACAAGACTCTGTTATATATTCTTGGTAAAGGAGAATAGATACGAGCTAAGGAAAAGAAAAGATTATTGCTGCTAGAGATAGAAACTGGAAGAAAAGAACAAAGTGGACAATCATAGTAAACACTTACTCATTTATAAGTTTTAGTAGCAAATCCCTTTGAAATGCATCATGGAGAAATTGCAGATAATCCTCCATCTAGCACAATTACTCGTGTGCTTCGACAGGTCAACGCGCAAAATGGAGATAAATCCAGGCTTCACTTCATAACAGTTACCATCACCCTTCCATTTTATTTTATTCTGACAGATGTGAAGATAACATATTGTCATGAAGAACCAGAGAGATTAGCACTCTCGATGCCAACAATTCACCTGAGATGGTTGGTACACTATGCACATTGGTTGGGCATGTCAAGTGTGTCGAGGATGAGGTGGCGCTAGTTTCCTCCTCCATTTAGAAGAACAATGTTGTCGTCAGTTTTGCTACCATATCAACTTAGGGCAACCTGGTGCATGTAGCTCCCGCTTGCGCAGGGTCCAGGGAAGGGTCCGACCACTTTGGGTCTATAGTACGCAGCCTTTCCCTACATTTCTGTAAGAGGCTGTTTACAGGACTTGAACCCATGACCTCATGGTCACAAGGCAGCAGCTTTACCACTGCGCCAAGGCTCCCCTTCAAAAATGCAGTATAAAGTCCATGGAAAAAATGTGGTAAATACTCCACTATCACTAAGTCAGTATATACAATATCACAAAAATATTGTTCTGGTATATACTGATTATTGACACCATACTCTGTCCCAAGCTCCCCAAGTTCACGGCAAAAACAGTAAAATGACCGCATATTTTCAAGAGTTTGCAATATAAGCTAACATTGTAGAATCCTTTCTATATACCATATGGTTGGTTTAGCACACACAGTTTAGTAAGACAGCATATAGAAAATCACAAATGTATTTAGAACTGAAAGTAAATATAAGAAAGCATGACTGTATTGTTGGATATTATTAATCCATGTCCTGTAGTAAAGAAATCTCAATGAAGTAGTGTGGTAGCCTTAGCTGTGGTTGAAGGCATAAATCTGATTGAGCAAACTATCAAATACATGCAGGTCCGTATGGCTGATGACATGAGTTCGACAGGAGCCTGAACCCCTAACTGGCGTTGATGATGAACATCCGGCACAAGCTCTGGCCAAGCTTTTGCTACCATATCAACAAAAGATTAAAATCCAATTGCCTTCTTTCTCTGCTTTCCTATGAAAAAAAATCAGATTGTGGCACATATCACGAACTGGATCCAGTGTCAAGGCAGTGCAAATTACTGGACTAACATGAGTGCTTATGAGATTAAACAATGACTAAATATTAACATGCATGAATTGATTGCATCAAGAATTGTAAGCACCACAATGAGATGGAAATATCTTGATACAGTACCTGATGGCAAGCTCCAAAATTGGAGAATCAACTCAAACAAAAACACCAGCAGTACAAGGTGGAATACAAGTTGTCTGTGGAAACAGATTATACTTGCTACTAACCGTGTCTCCCTTGACATATTGAACAGAACGTTCTAATATCACCTACAAAGTGGCTGGAACCACGCCTCAACCAATCTGCACCACATGAAGTACATCCAATGGCCCAGATCTCACACTAGTTATGCCCCATCTTTACTTAATACTGATGGCGCAGCATAATTTTGAACGATGTTGAAATCATAACACCGCCAAGGATTCAGTTAGAGCATCGCACTTTAAATTTCTCACAAAGAAAACACATCTTGACAGTGTTGCACTGGATGAGCACCTGACATATGCAAAGCAACAAGACGAGCAGTAACATCAGCAGCACAGATGATTCAACAAGTCGAGGACAACGTTAATCAGGTTAGCTGTTCATGACCTACATGCCACCATCCACCCCTGTCAAGTATGATGCATAACGACTCGACAGTCTGACACAAAACGCAAAAAGAAGCCTACGACAAGGATCCTACCACTGACACTGGTACATATATGTTAGCCTTTCATTCATCCGTGGCAAACAGACTTGGCATATATATCCACAAAAGAAACCTTCGTCACAGCCGATAAAGGAAAATATCTCTCATATTAAGAAAGCTCTGCTTCGGTTAGCAGTTATCACCCCCTGGGACGATGCGATTTCCCTGACTTCATTGTCAGAATTAAGGCACTCGCTCAAGAGCTCAACATGGAAGGGCGGATCCTGAATAGATCTTTTGAGATCAGGATATCAGACCAAGTATGTCTGCGAGATCACTCAGGGCCGCAACCGCAGCCTTTGTCACACTCTCATCCCTGACAAATAAATACTCCCTCCGTCCCAAAATTCTTGTCTTAGATTTGTCTAAATACGGATGTATCAGGTCACGTTTTAGTATTAGATACATTGGTATCTAGACTAATCTAAGACAAGAATTTTGGGACGGAGGGAGTATAATGATAAGGGGAAAACATAATACCCGTATAACGAAGAGAAAGCAGCGAGAACGATGTGCACCTGCTTGGGTCTTTGTAGACAGCTTCTGTGAACTGAAATAGATGGCTTGCATAAGGTAGCATCAGCTGAGCTTTTCCTTCATACCATGCAGTATACCGGAGTAAGCCTCAAATATTCCATGTCTCAGCTGGTTATGGTGAACAATCGTATCTTCGTTGCTTTGATCCAAAACAACGAGCTCAGCAGCTCCTTGAAGCACTGGCATGGCATATTGCAGGTATTTCTCGACATTCTCACCAATAGCAAGAGCAATGTCTCCAAAGCATGAGAAAATTGGAGGTCAGACAGACCGGTGAAGCATTGAACTTGCAAGATCCTTGAAAAGAACAGTCATAATGCAATCACAGAAAGGCTGCATTTTGTCTTCAATGGCACGGCAAATATCACCCATCACCCATACAGAAATGGAGCATATTTGGTATTCTTCCTTATTCTGCAAGCCTGCTTCACGAATGCCATAAGCAACTTGACAAATGGCAAGTATTGCTTTTTCATGTACAGTAGAACTGGGGCAAGCAAAGACACAGGGAAACAGAAACATCAATTGATCAGCAGTCTGGGAAATCACGGACATCACATCAGAGTTGCTCAGTTTCTGGATGATGACCTGCAGTACACCACACAACAAAGCCTGTAGATCACTCTGCTTCTCCCTGTCACCAGGCAAGAGTATTTGGAGTTAAAAATTTCAGGTTCAGTCTTTTCATGATCCCCTGACGTAGCTGGCCTATAATGTTTGAAGTTTCAGCTATGTTGCTAACTCTCATAACCTCATTTGACACTTCAAAAGAAGACGTGTGGAGGCTCAAATGGGTAGTACCAGCACGATCTGAAGCACAAAGGAGCACAGCGATGACATTAGGAAGATAGGGTGTAAGCAGAGATGAGCTTGACTCAGCATCTTCATAACCTTGGACAAAACAACATATGGCTCCACAGACATTCTTGGCCACATTTGAAACATCTTACTACTCTCCAGAAACAGTCATGATAAGAGGGAGGTTTGCATTTGTTATAACTGGAGTTCCACTGGCTGGAGAATGCAAAAGCTCAAACATCCACCGCAGAGTCCACGCGGTGGAGACTTTTACCTGGTTGTTTAGATCTTTCATTGAGTTGACCAAGAAATCAAGTCTAGCGTGCACCAGGGGGGTAAGCTTCTCAACAGAGGGACCTTCAAGGATAGAGCTAAATGTAAAAGTAGCTGCCTCGCGACAATGCCAATCCAGGTTTGTGATGTTAACCTTAACAAATGGCATCACAAGAGGGACAATTGCATCACCAACAGTTCTAGCGATGAGGCCAAGGCACTTTGCACCAATCATGGAAATGTTCCACACATTGTCAGCATGCTCATGATAACCCTCTTCATTCAACAGAGTTTCGAGCAGCATTGGAACAAGTAAAGGGATGGCCTTTTCAATGAAGCATTAAAATTACACTAGAGTTCGCATCATCAGATACCTCGTACTCTTCTTGGAGTTTAAACTCTTAATCACAAACAGTTCTCCAGAACTCAATAGCTTGAACTGCAACTGATTCCTCATCTCCTTTGACAGTGCTCGCAGTTCAAAAGCTGTATGCCTGATCTCCACATCTTAAGATACAACAGTATCACAAATTACTTTCACTATATAGCTCCTCTCCATAACGTTTGCAAAGTTGCTTTCAGCAAAATCAAGAGTGTTATATAGAACTTTAACTGCTGCAAAGACAGACTTCAACACTTAGCTCTGCCTGGTTCACTTCACTGAACAACAGCAGGCACCTGATCCTGCTCCAAGTGCTCAGGAGGAAACTCCTCGCAGACATACCCCAGCACCTCTAGTATTCCTTGCTGCACTGCAGCAGATGCGCCGTGCTGTGCCATGTTGCCCAGTAATTTGGCAATGAGGTCTCAATGGATGCAACCTTTGAAATGACTTGTGATGAGGCCTGCCTCGCATGAGGCATTAAAAATTCTAGTGTTCTCAACAATGACTCCTTAATCTTTGACTTTGACAGATGGATCCAGGGTGACCCTCTGTTGAATCAGCAGCTCTTTCTTTGCAGAATCCGTTGTGTCCAACGAATTCTTAAGCATAATACCAGCAACCGTTCTAGACTCTGGTGGCCTTTCATCACTTGACATCTCTACTGATAGGGAGAGGAGAAAGTTGGGAAGATTCTGCTCCTGGAACAGCTTCAGATCGCCTTCCGCTACCGAACTAAGATTGCCGTCCATAGATTGGGCAGCTAGCAGAATCTGAGCTCTATCAGTAGTTGTAGTAACTGTGCAATCAAACATCAAGCAACATTCCTAAGGGCATCCATTAACTGAGCAGAATATGAGTTAGCAAGCAAAGTTCAGAAACAAAAATAATTGCCCACAAATAAATAAATAAAGGGCATCCGTGAGCACTCCTAAGGGCTAGTTTGACCTAGCTTAGTCTTAAAATGTATGTGACTTCATCTGGATTAAGCTCACCATTAATAAGATTAACCCTACTAGGTTGTGGAAGTGCTACTTGTACTCGCTATGCTTTCTCCAGTTCTCTTATCAATCAAACTCTCCTCATCTTATCTTATATATATACCTAAGAGAGTTATCCCCACTAACTTATTTATCTTAACATGCAAGCATGCCACATCACCATACAATTATGAATGGGATAATGCCCACCTCAACATGCCACCATGCATGAGAAAAAAAAACCACCACATTCTACAATGCGTGGGGAATTTTTTTCCATTCTATTATTCTATTTATATTCAATAAATATTTTACAACTATACATAATCAAATATAACAAGTCGTATGTATTTTTAATTTTGGTTCACATGTTATTAATCTATAAACATTTATATTGCACACAGTTAAATCTCATTGAAATATATTGCAACCGACTCCCGCAGCAACGCGCGGGGTATCATCTAGTTTATTCAATTTACCAACAGAAGTAGGCGCCCCTGTCACTACAACAAAAAATTATAACCACAAAAACAAACCAAAAACAGGGTAGCTCAAGATATATCACCAGAAGTGCTAGTTTCCTGTCACTACAATAAAATATAGCATAGATTTTACTACCGAAAACAGGGTACAACATAAACTCTTCTGCTGACATAAGAAAGTTAGCCAAGTCCAGCAAGACAGGTAGGGAAGCTATGGATCAGCTGCTGCAGAAGGACCATCGCCACCTTGATGAGCTTCAGTTTGTGCCCTTTTTTGTTTGTCGCCGTTCAGCGCATGACAAGGATCAAGCATACAAGCTTTCATCTCACTAACTTCTGAAGATAAGACTGAGAAGAGAACTTCCATTGTGTAAAGTCGTTTCTCAATTGCCTCGAATCCTTTCACAACTTTCTCGTGCAACCCCTCTATCAGTTTTGAAAGTTGAGCATTGCTGGCAACTGTTGAATCAGGATTAACTGGTTCAGGATTAACTGGTTGCGGTAGCTGATGAGAATAGGACATGGGCTGCTGGTGCTGCACCTCTATAACTTCATGCTCAGCTGAGGCAGCACGTTGTTCACGATTCAAGCTTGCAAGGTGCAGGGAGTACTTCTTGAGGCAGCATTTGGTATCAATGTTTGTAAGGTCACACTTCAGATGGCGAAGAAGACAAAATATAAGAGGTGCATATGGCAGTGCATGATTTACAGTGTCAATGGCCTCACACATCTCACTGAGGAGGAAATGAGCAATGTCAAACTGCTTTCCGTGGTAAATGGCATAGGCAAGCTTGAGAAGCATGGTGGTGCATCCACCTCGATTTCCTGATTTAGGAAAAATTGTATGTCGATTTATCCTTTGGATGAGATCAACTTCAGTTTTAAGATCCCTAACTAGACCAATGTCGGGATTAGGTACTCGAAAGAGAGAATAAACATCAAAATCATCCCATGTGTGCAAAACAAGGCTGTCAGCTCTAGGCTCAATTAGCAAGGCCTTTTCAAGATCTTCCTTGGTAGCAAAACAATGCTGTGAGCCTATCATGAAATGCATTTCCCTGCGATCAGGATCAACATAAAGGGTGCCATAAAACTGTCTCACGACCTCTTCATTCCAAACCCAAGATGAATTGTTGCTGGTTAGACCTTTGAGACCAAGATCCTCATACTTAGTGGACAAATCAAAAGGGCATGTTTCAGCATCAGCTATATCTGACCACTCCACAAATCTATGCTTAAACACTTTCTTCTCATGACAGAACTGATCATATAGCTCTTTCTGTCTGTTGTCCCAGAAATTGCAGTCAGGAGAGGTAGATCTAGCAGCAACATAAGGGTTACGTTGCTTCTGCCTCTTAAGTTCAGGATACCTCAAATGGCCCGATGTCCTCCTCTTCCTCAGCTCCTTCCTTTCCCTATCCATGGCTTTATGCCTGTAAGTGTGAAAAAAATGCCAAGACTAAGTACTCCAGGTAACAGTTACTCACTAGATGGCATAACTTTGGAGCTATTGCACAGTAATTTGCCCTTACGAATTCAGCATTTATTTATGTACATCAAATCAAATATCATCTAGATGATGTGTATAGGATGAGGCACGGAGCAATTGTCAGCATTGGATGCTAGATGGTTGACAAGAGGTTAGTCATCTCATGACAGAAGTCGCAACTGGGAGCAACTAACAAAAAGGACCAAAACAGGGCATCGATGTAAGAGACTGTAGTTGTGTGTCAGCACAAGAAAATAGAGATGCCAGTCAAGTGAAAAACAGGAATTTCGCTTGGATTTCAACTTCTATTAAACCAGGACATCATACATTGTTCTTAGGGGGAACAATTTCCAATCAGGAACAAATGCAGACTGGAAAACCCTTGTCTTCAGAAGGGGATTTGAGTCCCCCTACCCTAAACCTAGGCCATGGTCAAGATGGAAGAGAGAAATATGGAGAAGGGGGCAGGGATGTACCAACCAGAGAGAACGTTGGCGACGGCTCGACCTTGGAGTGGCGACCAGAAACTCCAACACGAGGGTATGAAGCCGCAGCCTTCGTACTAGCAGCAGCTAGGGTTTGAGAACGGAGACCCACCAAAGTCTTGCGCGGACGAGACGAGCGACGAGGGAGGCGCGGCGCGGCGCGGAATTCCTGCGGCGAAGCTCCGGCCTCACCCCAGGGGAGGGTTCGCGGCGGCGCGCAGCATAGGTGGCCCAGACTCGGAGAGGAGGCGGCGGCGGCGGCGATCTCAGAGCATCTCCAATTTCCAGCAGATCTCTCCTAACAAAAAAAAAAACTAGCACTCCCCCGTCCCAAAATAAGTGTCGTGAAAAGTTGCTCCCCTCAACTACTTTCCGTCTGTTATTAGCCTTCTTTGATTGATAGGAATTTAGTAGAAATCATAAAGGATAGAAACTTTGTAAAAATAATTTTTTTGAAGCCCTTTGATTTGTAGGAAAGGATTTATATTCTTATGTAGAATAAGATTTAATCCTTCACATTTCAAAGTAAAAATAGCATTAACCTAGACTTAATGAAAAAACTCATGTCCTATGCATCAAATGCCATATCTTTCTTCATCCTATGATTTTTCTATTCTTAACTAGTACTATCCTATGAACCAAAGAAGACCTATTGAGGGCCTCTTTGATTGATAGAATAGGGAAATTATAGGAATAAAAAAGTTATAAAAAATGAGATGACATGTATCTCAAATCCTATGTGTAAGAATAGAAAAGAAGATGTCTTTTGATTCACATCATAGAATTTTTTTCCATTGAGTCTAGACTAATGTTTATTTTCATATGAAATGTGGAGGATAGGAAAAAATTCCTCTAAAAAAATAGGATTCCATTCATACATATTAAAGGACTCTAAAGAAATTTTTCCTATAAAAATCCTACCCTATGGAATTTCTACAAATTTCCTTCTCAAACCAAAGGAGGCCTGATTTTTTTCTCTCCGCACCCTCTGTTTTTGTATTTATTATTTTTTATAATCTCAACCCATGCCGCACAAAAACGACATACATAGAGTTACTTGAAATAATTTAACTCAAATTAACACTTTTATTTCTTTGTTCTACTCATTTGCTCAAAACAAAAAATAACATTGTTGACGTAATAAAAAATAGGATTCCCGCGAACCAACCTATGATTGGATGGTTAGAGGGACAATGGTATCCCCAGCCCATCAGGGTTCAAGTCCTGGTGCTCGCATTATTCCTGGATTTATTTCAGGATTTCCGGTGTTACACTTTCAGTGAGAGGAGACGTTTGATACGTCTCCAATGTATCTATAAATTATGAAGTATTTATGTTGTTATTTTATCATTCTGGGGTGTTTTACACTCATTTTATAGCAACTTTATATCATTTTTTGGGACTAACCTATTGATCCAGTGCCCAATGCTAGTTGTTGTTTATTTCTTGTTTTTTACATCGCAGGAAATCAATATCAAACAGAGTCCAAACACCAGAAACTTTACGGAGATTTTTTTGGACCAGAAGGAACCCAATGGGCCAGAGCTGCACCTGGGGGGTGCCCCGAGGGGGGCACAACCCACTAGGGCGCTCCAGGGCCCCCTGGCGCACCCATGTGGGTTGTGCCCACCTCGGTGGTCTCCCGCACCCCCTCTTTGCACTATAAATTTCCAAATATTCCGAAACCCTTCGGGGTTAACCTAGATTAGAAGTTTCGTCGCCGCAAGGCTCCATAGCCACCGAAAACCAATCTAGACCCGTTCCGGCACCCTGTCAAAGGGGGGAATCATCTCCAGTGGCCATCTTCATCATCCGGCGGCCACCACGATGAGGAGGGAGTAGTCCACCCTCGGGGCTGAGGGTTTGTACCAGTAGCTATGTGATTAATCTCTCCCTCTCGTGATCTATATCATTGGCTTTGTTAATATAGTCGGATCATATGATGTTTCTCCCCTCTATACT